ACTTACAGACATAGGTGAAAAAACTAAAACTTTAACTGGTTTTGAAACTGCTGTAATGTGTAAAAGTTTAATACTTCAAGCATTAGCGACTGTTCCCATATCCAACCATATATATCAACAGATATCCTTTCTAAATATAAACACATACAGGCTCAAAACTCTTCAGTAAATATATTATTTATATGACTTTCTACAAGCAATCTATCTGAATTAGTGTACCGTGCGCTGTCCGAAAACTTATCCCTTTTTTTTTTTTATTTGTCGTTTAGGGATTACTATCAAAGTGATATTATCCCACGATAATACAAACTAAATGAATTAGTTATTAGAAGCAATAAATATACCTCCAAAAACTTTTTTTATTATTTAGATAAAATCCTCATCATAAAAACCTTTAATACAAATACTTTTTTATCTATAGTCTCTCTATAACGAAATTGTAGTCAGTCACGATTATTTCAATAAAATAATATATATTATATATTACTTTTTTCTTTTGTTCTATCTTGTTGTTATTATTAACCATCATAAAATAATATATACTTTATTTCGTTTATTTTTTTTTCTTTTTACGATGAATAGTTCAGCCGATTGCGAATCTAGCGAGACAAAAGTCTAGAAGTCATTTTATTGAGAATAAGATACTTCCGTTTTATCCAGACTAATCTGTTATTGTTATAAAAAAAAGCCATAGAATGATTTGTTAAATTTTTTTGTCTAAAAATCAGTATTTTTTTTTAAATATATTTTCTTACAAATAAACGATTTACAAGCAAAATGACAAGGATTTGTCCACCATCCATTAAAAATAAAAATAAAAAGATAGATATATAAAAGTAATAAGATATTTTAATATTACCCACTAATACGACTTTAGGTTTACTAAATAATCTCTCTAGTAGCTTATTGCTCAGAACTTATTTCTTATTAATGATCAAAAAACCTGTCTTAGAATGCCTAATTTTCTCTCAGAGCAGAGCAGTGATCTCTTGGAATCCTGCTTTTCCATCTATAGTTGGCTTGGGGTTCCCTGCTTGACTGTATATATTGTATATAGGTATGACTGTGTTTTTATGTTTTTAATTTACTTATCTTTAGGTCATTTTATTTTTTATTGTACATAGTTTTTGATTATTAATTAGTTATTATATTACTTTTGTTTATTTTATATTTTCTGTATATATGTTGTTAATGTGTTCATATACCACTATAATTATTGTCCACGTGACAGATTATTAAATTTCTAAATAAACAAATAAAAATAAAAAATCTTTCAAAACATTGTCCTAAAATCTAATTTTCGACTAGCATATTCAATCAAGCAAATTTTCGTTCTTACACTAGCCGTTTAAAAAAATCGTTACTTCTCTCGATTCCTCAGTTAATTCTTTCTTTTTTTTTTTTTTTTTCTAAAAACAAGAATTGTCCACTTGAAACAAAATTATTATCCCCGAAACGTAGAAGAACGGGCTATTAAGTTAAGTGCAAGACTGACAGTCCCTCCAGAAATGACGTACGCGAAACCCCTATACAACATGACAAATTAATGTTCACTGAACATATTAATTACAACATTAATGATGAACATATAACGGAGGACTCATCAAGATTTGAAAATGACCCTTAGTATGGTCGAAATGTCAAATGGTGAAATGTCAAATGCGTATCAATAAAATGTTGGTGATAATTGGTCTAATTTATTGTAAAAAATAAAAAACTTCAAAACACCAAAATTAGGAAAAATGAACAGAAAAAACTACAATTATTTATTCAACGACTTGCAATATTATATATACTATAACAAAAATACAGATGAACCATACTTTCACAATAGCTTACAGTGAATTTAGGAAGTTAATAAATAGTTACAGTTAAATATACAAGAACAATTAAATAAAAGTTAGGAAAATTAAAAGTTCTAGAGTAATTAATACAAAAAGTTAGAGACTAAATAAAAGAAAAATTAACAAAAACCGGTAAAATTAATGAATCTTATGTTCAAAATATGAAAGGGTTAAAAAGGTATGATTTAATTTTGTTTAAGTGCTCGATTGGCATTGACATCGAAATATCGTTTTTTTATTTATAATTAACATCTTATTTAATGGTAAAAACATGTATTTCATCATAATCTCGAACTTCATTTTTAACGTTAAATACTACAGGTATAAATGTTAACGTGTACAGTTTAAAAATCAAATATGAAATTACAAAAAGGAAAATTAATGACTACAATTTAAAATTAAATTTTAGAAATTACAAGAACCCCATCTGAGTCGAATAGGCGACGATAAAATGCCAAAGATAATTATGGAGTGGGGTGAAGAGCGTGGAAAGAGAGGAAGACCGTTAGATGGAAGGAGTGGTGGAGAGTATGGTTGCTAGGGGATTGTCGGATGAAGATGCGATGGACCGGCAGAGATAGAGAGACTAACTATCTGAAGTAGAAAGTTAATTGAGGAAAACTTCATATTAAAAAAATAATAATAACAAGAAAAAGAGTTAAAATTAAAAGTTTAAGATTAAAATAAAGAAAGCTGACAAAACAATTTAATCTAAAAATTGAACTTTCAAAGAAAGAAAAGGTAACAAAACTGGTAAAATTTTACATGAATATTTGTATTGTCGAAAACATATTTTCGAAAGAATATCATGAGTAATGTGGTTTATTTTTAGGATGAACGTACCAGTAATGGAAAGTTTTCGACTCATTAACATGTAATAAGCTTTTTACATCTAAAAGATTAGATTTGAAACTAGAACACGTAGGAAGGTGATGCCTGAACCTGAGATGATGTCACGATATCATGATAGCCGATTGGTTGATTTTTCAATGGAGCAAGGCTGAGTGTTTGTTTGAGGGAGCTTTCCTTATCACTTTTCTTTAGGAGATAGGTTTGAATTTTTCATTTATTCGTCTCTAGTTTGCTGTTCCCTTGTTTAGAACTGTGGATAATTTATTTTGGATTTTTAATAACATAAAAAATATGTCTACTCCAAAACCTGTGTGTCTATTACTGATACAAAATACGGTGTCAGAATTTTTTAAATTTTTCGTGGATAATAAACTAATTGAATGTATTGATAACAAGGCTTAGCGAACCCGAAGGTTCGATGCCGATACCAACAATTGATGTCCACATTCCTACACCCACTGAGCTCCGGCTAAACCCAACCCCGCCAGATCATTCTTAACGCAGCCTACCCATCTTCGCTTTGGTCTACCCCTCGGACGCTTGCCAGTCGGTATAGCTCATATTATTTTTTTTAGGAATTCTTTCCTTACTGAGCACAGCAATTTTACATGCCCATTTTATTCGCCTCAACTTAATCACCTCGATTATATTAATCGGACACCGTTCACACAATTCAGCGTTGTGTAACCGCCTAAATTCTCCGGTTGACTCGTCCTTTTTCGGTCCGAATATTCTGCGCAATACTTTATTTTCAAAAACTTTAAGACGTTGCTCATCCCTTACGGTAAGCTGCCACGTTTCGCATCCATAAAGAACTGTAGGTAAGATAATGGTTTTGTAAATTCTAATTTTTAAGTTTCGGGACAGGAGGCGAGAACTAAGTAATTTTGGCAAAGAAAAATAACAAGCATTTCCCCCCTTCAGCCTAACCATAATATCCTCTTCAATTTCGTTTTTTTCTAGTTATCGTAGACTCTAGATGCCTAAAATTCTGTACGTCAAACACATTCCCTTCTATATCGATACCATCGAAATCGTTGCTGTTTTTGCAGCTAACCATATATTTTATGCTATCCGTATTTATTTCAAGCCTTAGTTCTTTACCAGCTTCCATCAACGGTTGTTGTATTTCGTTTTATTGTTTCCATGTCTTCGCTTAACAGTACCAAATCATCAGCATGCACAAGAACGGATATTGTTCCACCCTGGTTCAAACCTTTTTCGGTATGTATCACCTCTCTAATGGCATGTTCTAATGCCAAATTAAATAGTACGGGTGAGAGAGAATCACCTTGTTTTAACCCCGAACGAACCTCAAATTTCTCGGACAAATAATAATCGGTTCTAACTAAATTGACTTTATTGGAAAAACGAAATTGGTAAAAGACTAAATTTGCTGTGAATTAAACCCATTTGCAAAGATCTACCGTCAGAACTTCAGTTGCGATAACGCCACAAGACATAAGTCTTCTCCTTAAAAAAGAAATATTTTTTAGCCAGCGATCTATGTGGAGTGAGAGCACGTCAAGCAAATTAAAAAATATTAAAAAAACAGTAAAGCCCTGGTCATAATCTAATCTTTCTATTCGCAGAGAGTAGGTTGTCTTGACCAGACTGAGAATAGGCCATACCAATCCAACCCGTTCACATCTCATTAGCAAACAGCCACCACCAAAATGTCAATATTGTAATAGTACACTTACAGTTAGCCACATTTTTCAGCAATGTTATTTCTATATCTTAAATTTAAATAGTTTCAAGCTTCCAATATCAAACATCCATAACAGCTAGTAGTGTTGCAGAAAATCGGTCTTGGTCTTGCACTTTGCAAGACCAAGGCCGCCTAACTGTTGCAAGACCAAGACCAGGACTGGTAAAAATCGATTTTTTGAATACAAATTAAGGCAAAATAGTTAATAATACTTGACAATCTTAGTTATTATATGTAAATAACTAGTATAACCAATATACTTTTGCATTTAACTCCTCTAATTTTTCATTCCGGCTTAGTTAGGTTTCTCCTATCTAAAAAATGACAGTAATGTATCTAAAGTAATAAGCTAATAAGTAACTGCAAGACTTTTGCGAGATTCTTGCTCAAGACCAAGACCATGACCAAGACTGGCTTTGCAAGACCAAGACATGTCTCGGTACAACACTAACGGTTAGTGTTAAATTATCTAAAGTCAAACAACTTGTTAAATAAAATTTAAAAGTTTATATTCAAATCTAGTTTAGATAAACATGATTACACAGGCGTTGATGACCTCGAGGTTTTACGCCTTAAAATTCCAACTAACAACAATAACAACAACTTAAGTTGCGATTCGCATTAACATTGAATAATTATTTTCTCTATTTACATTTACACTACATTTCTGCTATTCACTAAGAAAAAAAATGCAGTAGGGGCATATTATTTCTATTCTCAGTCAGCATCAATGATCCCCCTCCTTCCTTCGGATGTTATGTTCGGAATACCGTTCTTCGATGAGACTGTTATGCATTTCAAATAATTAAGGTACTTTTAAAGTTTTTTCAAAAGTGTAAAAGTAATTGTTTCGCGACAGGTTTAGAAGTTATAAATTTATCTATAATCAGTGCTTGCATGAATTGATGTTTATCTTTATTGTAAATATTTTTAGTCTAGTTATTTTTTTATGTTATTTAACATGTCAACAAGCTACTTCTCAGAAAGTACATACGAGATACAGAACAGAGTATTATCCTCGAGGTGAATAAGGGGACTACTCATTCATTTCCAATCTGTTTCAATTAAGATAAATTCTCAGTTCAAGTTCTTAAAATGCTCGAAGTTCTTATTATACTCCAATATAAGATAGTAATCAGTAGCGGATACAGGATTTTTTTAAACCATAATTACTGTGGTATAAAATAAAAATAAACATAAAATAAAAATAAAAATTGTTTTTTCTTGAAACGTTTATGCATTATAATTTAAAAAGAAAATATATTGTGATCGTTTAATTATTTAGATTATTTATTTAAACAAATATAGAACAACTAAAAAAAGTTATTTTTTCTGTTTGTGGAGGCTTCAGCCAGAATGCCTCCTCCCCACGCACAAAAAAAAAAAAAATAAATAAAGAAAAAAAAAAAAATATATATATATATATATATATATATATATATATATATATATATATATATATATATATATTTCTCTAAAAACTAGATAAACTGTTTAATTAATACCTTAGGCAGATTATGAGAGTATTTTTAGTTGGAAAAATGAACATTTTATACTGTTTTTAGTAAATAGTTCAATTGAAAACCTAGTTAATTTGAGGAATTTCGAATGATTTGTAGGTTTTGTAAAATTGCTTGGTTCGAGCTGATGGTTGATACTTTTTTCTTGAAACTTTATACACTTTTTACTATCATTCTGCTTAATTAAAAAAAATATGTAATAATTTCTAAAACCTGTTTTACTTCGAATCTTTCTTCTTTTTTGTTAATAAAAACAGGTGTTTTTAAATCAAAATTTTACAAATACTTCGATTTAAAAAATACTCTCATATCCTCCGGAAAATTGATTTCTTGGAACTTTTTAGCAGTCATCGTTAAAGATAAATTCGTATCAATTTAAACCCCCATGGTCCGCCCGAAGGTAGTTAAAATATATTTAACATTATTTTAGTATGTATAAATGTTCGAACAATTTCTAGGTATGTACTAATATCTCCTATAACTCGACATGATCTCAAATTTAGTTTTAAGAATTGTATTAAGAATAAAGAAAATAAGGTTCTATAGTTATTTTTTTAGAAAAATACCTCAAACCAAAACAAAAAAAAAAAATTTACATTAAATATTAAATCTTCGTTTTCATTGTTTTAAAATTTTAATTTTGTCTTCCAAGATAAGAATTAAACTGTTATATTATTCTTTTAGATGTATATAAGCATCCTTTATTTTCGCTCTAATCTAAATAAATAAACAAACAAAACATCATTAAATGAAAACAAAGCGAAACAAAAGGTGGGGGTCAATGGGTATCCGTATAAGACGGCCTCAAGGAATAAAATTAATTTTATTTACTTGTTCCACAAATATTACTGTCTGTTAGTAATAAAATGTACTCGTTTTCAACCTCCAACCCTTATTATTTTTAAATTTAGATATAATTTCATAACGGTAAATTGAATCTAAGGGTATTTGGTTGAACCTACATGACTTGATCTGCATCAGTTGTTGTTAATATAATCTTTAAAATTAATGAAAAAATTACATATTCTTTTCATAGGAAAATGTGAGGAAGTATCGATGGTGTTCAAAATATCATTATCGATGGTTTTTAAATTTTTTTTGGAACAAAAATATAGTAAAATGTTTATTATTTCATTAGAATTTTTATAAAATGAAAATTTATAATTAATAAACGACACACTTCTTAAGTTATTACATATACATATTTTATAATTATATTTTGTGATTCATTTAAAATTAAAAAAAAAATATATTAAAATAACGGTTATATGTAGCAATATAGACAGTAGTTATAAATATGTATCTAAAATTATGCGTTTTATGAGGCCTCTGTCATTTTCGATTTTAATTTATCGTCAAATTTAAAATTTCTGAGGTTTAAACAAAGAAACCGGAATTTTTTTTGTTTTTCGTGGAAATTTCCCAATATTGGTGTTCCTTGGACTTTAAAACATAAGTGTACTAAATATCAAGTTATGTCAACGAAAATCCGTCTTTGGTCCCACTGTGCCGCGTAATGTTATTTTAATACCCCCTAGCACAATTAAGTTGGTAAAAACAATATTGAAGAATTGGTTTCTCATGCTAATTTTCATACCTGAATAAAAAGGACCTAACTACTGAACCAATGAAACTCAATTTGCTCACGGAGATGATATAAATAGATTTTTAATTGGTTCCACATCGATTAATGACTATAATTAAGTACTAAAATGCTCTTATCAGAGTTTTATTAGCAATTAAGTTTAAAAAAATTGTGCCAAAATGTGGTAGCAGCTAAATTGTCTCTTGACAAGTTTAATACTATCCCAGTGACAATATAATACTGAAATGGGTGGTAGCTTTTGGGTCCAGAATTAGATATTCAGTAATTAAGTAAAAAATAATAATGTAGAAATAACTCTAAAACGACGATTTTTTTAAAACCCTTTTATCGAGTATTAGTGTTAGTGCAAAAAAAGTACACAATAAGTATTCTGCATTGTTATTTCCTTGGACTTAGTCTTTTCCTTTGAGGTATAATTTAATATAGATCGTTATCACATTTCATTCAAATTTACTCTCCTATAAATACCAACTTCGGAATTAAATTTCATCATGAGAAACATTTTAAAATAATCATTTCTTGCACATTCGATGTCACCAGCTCTTAGGCTTCGTGGAAATATAAGTTTTTTTGAGAAAATAAAAGTGGGGTGATTACCCAAGTTGCTCCATCCTAAGGCCGGCACACTGATACTACAATATTACTATCGTTATTACAACAAATATATACAATTTTAATAACCCATCTTAAACTTTTTATATAGTTTACAATTTTAAAACTAATAATTGTATTACCTATTTTCTATTGTACCTAAATATTTTCAGTGTAATAATGCAAAATTAGAATGTTCCTAAATATAATAGAAGTAAAAAGTTATAAGAAAAATAACAAAATAAAAAAAAAATCTGGTGCGCGCAACACACAACTTTCACTTACCGATCTACTATGAATTGAAATTATTTCCTGGCATTGCTGGGCTATTATAAATTTTTTTGAAGTGCATTTTAAACGGAGCTAAAGCTTAAAGCTTACAGATAACAAGTCATTAAGACCATTATAATTACAAAATGTCTATTTAATATATCGACGACAGGCAATAAAAATCTAGTCACTCCATCTGCTTTTATAAACCACACAACTTTCTTTGCTTTTATAAACTTCAGAATGGCTAACTACAATTTCAATATTTTTAAGTGATGTCATTTTAGTGATATTTTAAGTTGACAAAGTTATCTATGCAGAATATGAGTAAATTGATTCCGGAGATGGTGATTGCAGTGTTGAAATATAGAACTGAGAATAAAGGTATAAATTTAGGTACTTATTTCTTATGAAAAATGTTCTTAGGAAAGATAATTTATTAAATATCTGTAGAAAAAAGGTTTTTTTAGTCTCAACAATTAAAAAAGTATATTTTAAATTTATAAAAAGTTTCGCCTCTTCAGTGAAAAAAACTAGAGACCATATCTTTCCTCCTAGTTGTCCGATCTTAACGATTTTTTTGTTGTTTTTTTTGGAAATTCTATAAACTTTTAAAAATCCAAAATTGTGAAAATGTGTTTCAGCGTTGATATAAAGTGGTACTTTCGGTTAGCCGATTTTAATGAAAAAGTTGCCGTCACATCTAAGGCATATACCAATCTTAAATACGTAATATCAGTTTCGAAGGACTTTTCGTTTTTGAGCTAGACTGCTAACATATAAACACACAGAAACACAGACCATTTTTCGGGACTAGGTCATTTCGACTCAGGGTACCTCAAAACGTCTATTTCCATTGAAAACTCAGATTCAAAAATTTTGTCAATCGCAATACTTACCCGTACTATATATTACATATATACGTAAGTGAAAGTAAAAAATGTATGGCATAGGAACTATGGAAAATATCATACAAGGAAGGATTCTTTATATTTATTAATAAATATTTTGGGCTCTTCAACCACCTGAGTAATTTTCGCCCTATATTACAATTTGATCAATTACTACACACATAACAAAACTACAGCTAAAATATACAATTTTAAGTTTAGAAAGTTTAGAATAGTTACAGATGAATATGATAGTACATTTGAATTAAAGTTATAAAATTTGAAAGTTAAAGATTTATAAGGAGATAAGTTAACATAGACAATTAAAATAAAGGTTAATGATTTTAAGAACAAATGCTATAAAAAAAAAAAAAAAAAAAAAATTTAAATAAAAATTAATATTAATAGAAGCTAAGTCAAAGAGTACAGTTTAAATATTAAAAAGTACAAGAAGAAATTTTTACAAAAACCATTAAAATTAAATATTAAAAATTAGAAAAAGATAAGTTAACAAAGACATTTAAATAAAAGGTTGATGATTTCAGGAATATAATCTAAAAATCCGGTTTGAAAAATAAAATTAATATTAAAACAAGAAAAGTTAAAAGTACAATTTAAATATTAAAAATTACAAGAAGACAAATTGCAAAAAAAAAACATTATAATTAGAAATTAAAATTACAAGGTTTTTGATATAATTTCTTGAATTGAAGGTATGTGAAATAAATTATATCTTCCTCCCGGAGTAATTTTTTTTTTTTACTATTACTCATTTTTTTCTTTTTCATATTCCACGTTTCGAGGCTCAGCCTCATATTCAGAAATATTCTACAATATAATTATGATTAGTATAAAACATATATTCACTTATAATCATCTATCTTAAACTTTTAATATCATTCGCAACTTTAAAATTGATATTGTCATTAACTA